TGTGAAGATGAGAGCTCTGGAGGCGAGGGGAAAGATATCGGTTAGAGACCGAACAAAAGGGGTGGTAGAGGGGTCCATAGTGAGGTCGAGGATCTCCAAACTCGCTTCACCACCCAACGTGATGCTAACATTAGCGTCGGAGCAAAGTGACTGTTTGTTCACCCGTGGTGGCATGCGGCGCCGGCGGATTGCTCTGGACTCCATGGTTTTGTTCATCAGAGGCGTCGCATGTGTACACAGCGGACGCAGGCTGATGTGCGAAGGGTCGCTGAACGACGAACAAAAATAAAAAGTCTGATAATAAAACAGTCGAGGCTAGACGATGAGAACTTTCCAGTTGGATGTAAGCCGTGGATACTTGTCACTTCTGATCTATCGTCATAACACACGAGGATTCACAAATTTAACAAGTCAGATACGACGAAGAGATCGATTAGGAGGGCAACATGAAAAAAACTCCTGCGGAGCAGCGCGGGATTTCGGTAATAAGCAAGAGGAGAAATTTCATAAACTTCCTAAATGCTTCACTTAATCCACTTCACAATCGAATAAATAGATTATGCGAGGAATTAGAAGCAATGTAAGGGATATATAATATCTTAATTGCAATTTTCGGGACATCCACAATGCTCATGAATTCAACAGGAGGAGCGAAAAAAACGCTAATAAGGAATCCCAGGCGTTTCGATAACCCTTAACCGAATGTTTGGCTCTAATAATCTAACCAAAAGCATACAAAAACTGGTTCTGAATCGAAATGGAACAAAGAAGCAAATTCATGGACGGATAAATGTAACAATGTCGTACACAAGTCTGCAATCCACCGGAAAACCCATTAGTTCAAAGAAAAATGCGAACTTCGACTGAAATTCAACCATAATGAGTGTTCTTTCAAGAATGGTTGTTGAAAAGCCATTGACGTCTGCTAAGCGCCGCTTCTGGAACATAGAAAATCTCTTACTTATATTTCTATAGCTAAATTGCACAATATACCTCCGAGAGATGTGGAAAAGAGTGAAACAGTGCAACGAGCGATTTTCAAAGCGCCAAAAGCCTAATCCGAGTAGCAAAAAGCAACATTCACTGGTGCTGAGTCCAATAAACCAAGGAGAGAGATAGTTAACATGTAGCAATAACAGAAACTTTATAACTTGAGTGCAATCAGACATCAGTGGCGCCGAAAAACCGAAAAACAACAGCCGTATCAAGCTAGAGCACAAGGTTTCAATCTAGCGAAGAACAAAGGAAAGACGATTAATAGGGAAGAATCTACTTTTCAAATCCACGACTGTGACGGATTGTTCACCGACAAGAAGGAACGGTAGAGGAGATTTAATAACAGTGAGAGGGACTCACGAGTTGTCAACCACGACAGAGAAAAGGCAGTCAGTGGCAGAGAGGCAGAGGAGAGCAGCGCGAGGCTGTTCGCTGGCGAGGGTGATGGCGCAGGAATCGCGCAGACGCGAAACGCTCCACTCAGCCTGCAAGCGCAGCCAACGCACCGACATCCAAAAAGGTGCCTCCGCATACTTTCGGCGCGAAGTTCGCTCTACCACCCGCATTGTCTCCTCCGAGCTTTGGCTGCTTGTGCTAGCTTTCATATCCACCTCCCAACTGTGGGAGAAAAAGAAAGAGGAACAAAAGCTGCTGCAATTGCAGTCAATTGGCTGACTCCTAGCCAAATAGGCCTTTTTAGTATCTCGTAATTCTGCCACCATTCCAGTATCAAGAAAGTAAGCTAATGCAATACATTTTGCGCTGATAGTATAGGCCTTCTACATCTCGAAAATAAACCTAATGCCGGCCTGGCATGTCTCATGACATCCCCAAGAACAACTTAGGCATCGAATTGATAGGAAGAGCAGGAGGAATTACTACAAGGGAACAACAATGCCGGTATCACCGCTAGATATCTTCCCAAAACGTGACAGGAGGTGTGACGTCCGAGTTACCCTTGAGGAAGTAATAAGAGATAACAATTTGGAAGTAGGGGTGGAGGGCCGTCGCTATAGGTAAAAGAGACGGGTCATAACTCCAGAGGATGAAAAATATGCGTAAGTAAATGTAAACTTAAAACAAATATAACTCTATTATAAAAGAAAACATCCACTGCTAACGGTTAAAACCACAGAAATTTACAATAAAACTACCAAAACTATGTTGGTTTTTGGCAAATACCTCAATTTCAAGTTCTGTACGTCGACGATAACGAAGAGTTACGCCTTTAAACAAATACTGCCGCGAGGAGCAATCAATATACAAACCACACTCATCATGGGAGAACGTCCAGTCCCAAGCAAAATGCCCAATGAATTCCAATTATGGAGCTCTCAACTTGATTTATGGCTAAAATGAAATGCCTTTCCACCAAGATGGGTTATTGCAGAATCATTTCTCCTGTATAGCCGGGGCTTTTAAGTCGCGCAACTAGCATGGGGACAACTAAATAGAAGTTACCACGGCGAGTGCTGAAAACAAAGCCTGAAATAAAACGAGGTGTGGAAAAGTGATATTTATTTTAAGAGTTCATTTGGCCATATGAGCCTTTTCTGTAGCGTCAACAAACCCTGCTACTAGTCTCCCACGTCCTCAGCATATTGAAAATGAACCACTTTCAGACTGGCATACGTTACACGAATATAACCAGGGCACAACAGAACAATATGGGGCAATATAAACCTCATGTCATTTCAGATATTTTGTTTATGAATACCCCTTAAAAGACCATACAATTTAGTACTAGGTGTGAGGTAGCGGTGCGCAACCCTAGTTGAGCTGAGAATAAGTAACGTACTACCGATCACTTTGTTCAATTTGGTGTCTGCGAGCTAAAATGCACTGATTAGGCAAAGAGCGAGATCAAAAGAGAACTTACATTTCATTTTCGTCCATCACGGCGAAGGGTACAACAAGACGGGAGTACGGCCAGCCGGTGAGAATGGCTTGTCCTAGATAGCTATTGGCCACGATCTTTAAAGATCCAGGATCAGACGTACTGCGCCCCAATGGATGCTCAACGGTCAGTGAGACACTCTCGCCCTTGCTCGGAAATGAAAAGGTCTAGGACAAGAAAAAAATAACCCATGGATGCTGGCAATACACCCACGCAGACATATTGGCATTGAAAAAGAATGCTATGGTGCAGGTATATAATCCATTCATCTCTGAGATTTGTGGGGCAAAAAACTAAACTGCAACCAGATGTGAAAGAGTTTGGTAAGATTCCATGCACCATTCAATAGGATTGGAAAAAAATATTGAAACTGCATCTTTAAATCAACCTCTTTCAAGTTCTCATTGTATAATAAGCACAAGGTTACGCGCATTAACTGTCCTCCAAATGATTAATAAATAGGTTTGCTGTAGGAAGTAAACTAACCGAGAAGAGCTAAGTAGTGCAAGGAGAGAGTCGGAACTCACCCGAACACCTACACGTGTGATTTTGTAGGTGAAAGGTATCCGATAAAGACTGGGAAAACCAAGATCCACATGGCGGGGCATCTGATAGCAGACCTGGAGGTACTGTTGTGGAGCTCGAAGGATTTGGGTGTGGAAGAATCCGCAGTCAATCTCTTCGGAGACGAGGGACCCGAAAGTGGCGGGGTAGTCAACTTTCTCCCTGTCTTTCGCTCGCAGCACGAAGTGACCCCGGTGCACATTCCTTTTAGAGTCTTCCGGTGACAGCGTCTTCGTGCAGGGTGCCATTGCAGCCAGCATCTTCGTCTGCATAATAAAAGAACGACTGAGGCTGCTACCAATGTTAGTGCTACTAAAATAAACTTTTATAGGGCTAATTGCCTATACAGAGAGGAAATCTCGAAGCCGATAATCATGGCTGGTAAATGTGAGTTGCACCTAAATCAATTGTTTGTGAAGTGGATGCTTTGCTACGTGTGCTGCCTGTTAACGCAACAACCATATTTTATCGCGAATGAAAGTAAGTCTCCAGGCGACTCAATTAAAGTAGTGATAAAGCGATTTCCAAATACCAGGCGACATCAGCGCGACTGACTCAAACAACCACGAAGGATATGCCTATAACAAAAGCATATACATACCTCAGCAAGAATTACGGAGACCCACGGTAGCGAATATTGATGTTCCACGTACCTGAAATTACCCCCTAACTTCCTGAAGCTTCCACTTACCGAAGGCAAAAAGACCATTTAAAACGGTGGAAGCATTGTCATAGATAGGGTTTTAGCAAAATTGAATATTTAGTTAGCTAATACGTTATCATGTAGAATAGCAACCACTTTGTAGGTGGTCGAGTAAAAGAAAAAATTACTCACAATACCGCACTCACCTCATCAATAAAGGGGATTAATACCACAGCTTCCCAATCAGCTAACTTCCCATTGATGTCAGTCTCGAAGTCCTTGGGGAAAAACTCAGACACCGGACTGCCCGAAGGAGCTAGCAGCCATCGGTAGGGCTGCGGTACGATGTTAGCACTCATAGCTGGCATGATAAACATCTGCTGTTCAAAGGGCAACATTGGCTTCGTATTGGGCGTGAAGTCGGCCCAGTCGGTCAGTTTGTTGTGCTCCACACCGTCCTTGGCGAAACGTTTAGTGAAAATTAGGAGATCGGAAGCGAATGGTGCGTAGTGGTACGGGTAATAATAACTCCAATCCGCCACACTTTTGAAGTAGTAGCTCAGCACCCACTGGAGAGTCTTAACGTATTGCCTGCAAATGGGCAACAGAGCCGCTTCCACAAAGGCCTTGGAGGTTCGCTCCGAGTCCCCACGAATGTCGATTTTAAGTTTTCGAGCGTAATAATCTTGCCGATGCATGCGGTAGGCTAACGCATCCTCATCCTCATCCTCGCCAAAAAATAGAATATTCGCGTTGGGAGTGGCGTGGATGTGACGGTCAAACCACACCTCATGTTCCACATCGCTTTCATCGTCCTTATCCTCCTGTTCATCTATTGACGCAAGACCCTCAGTCTTCCGATACATCCCATCGTTTTCCATCTCCTTCCCATCCAATTCTGTAGCAGACGACAATGAAGGCATAGAGTGCTTTAAATAGTCTGTTGTGCTCTATGCAAACAGATCCAGGTGCCATTTGACACCAATGTATGGTAAGATTTCGAAATTAACCGAACTGGCACCTCATTTTTGACATGAACAATATGCAAATTTAGGCATAGTTTAAAAAAATATCAGAGGCTTCATCTCTTCTAAGAGTCTAAAAGTGGGATGAAAAAATTGTGTCAAGGCTAACAAGCGAAAGAGGGAGTTAGAAAAGTTATGTAGGAAAGAATAATCATAATTTTAGCTGTTCAAAAAAGAACTGGCTACTTATAACCTCCCTCAGATACCTGTTAAGAAGCTGATGAGATTGAACTCAGAAAAGCCAAAGCAAATTCTTTATCAGTTTAACAAAGTAGAGCAAAAATGTTTTATGGCCATAATCAATGCAAAAGTGCGTTAAAGACATATTTTTCCGACATTTCAAATATTCTGTTTTCTAATCACGAATGAACACCGACACGATTTCCAAAAAATTCCAAGAAAATTAAGAAAGTGCGGAAAATCATCTTAAAGTAAAGCTTTCCTTTACACACTGTGATAAGGCAAGCATGAACGCAATTGTATGGATCATCCATGCCACGAAACGGAGCCTACCTTCTGCATTAACTGCCTTGAAATCATTTGACTTGTTGATGGAGGGAATATTCTTAAAGTGATCAGCCGAATTTTCATCAGCCCTGTCAGACTCATTAGAATCTAAAAATGGGACGATATTACAGGTGGAAGAAAAGAAATCGACGAGAAGCCCGTCATCGACCGAGGAATTACGCTCAGCTACCGTCTTTGACCCAGTC